TAATATTATATTAAAATATGCGGGAAATATTTCCTCTAATGTGAGCAGTTACAGCATTCACTTTATTTCTCAAATTGCTCGCATACATGCATATATTCAAGGCATGATGACGGCTGCTGTGACTTAAAAAAAAAATTGAACGTTAATTCGAATGACTAAGAAGAATGAAAAATACGTGGTTAGATACTCGTATGCTTTGATGGCGTCACCAAGAAAGTATTCCTTTGGCTTAAATCAATCATGACTTTATTAGAACGTAATAAAAAGCTGATTTTCAATTTGCTTCAATTGCCAATGATTCCCGCCTTTCTAGTAATACAAACAATTGCAGCTAATGTCATATATATGTATACGTACATTTGCTTGATCGAATAAACAAATGTTTTCAATTTAAAAATCAAGTTTTCTAAAGTTTTCAAATTTATCTCTAAATGTTGCAGATTTATTTTTTAACATGCAAGCAGTTCAAACCAGCTCAATATATTGTAATCAGATTGTCAAGTGCTAGGCCAATTAGAGTGAAGCGTGACACCATTAGAACCTTTGTGAATTTAGCTTTTGTAACTTTTATTTTAAGGGTTGATATTACCAAACTTATAATATGAAGAAATTGCGAAAACGTTGTGAGTAAACCCGGCGAAGCCTTGAAGGTATCAACTGCGTGAATTCCATTTGAAACAATTTTGTATATCTTTAGTAACGATACCCCATACATTCATTATAGCTTCAGCTTGGCTACTTACCATAGTTTCACTAAGTTATATATAACATAGACAAACACACACACACTGAAGTCAGTATTTTGAACATCTGTAGGGATAAGGAAATATGTACATCGATTATCATCAATTTTTGAACTACAACTTCAACCAAATTTACCACGATCATTTTCAGCAAAAAAAAAGTAGAAGCAAATGATTTATAACTTTTTACAAATTAGATCGAGTGATTTGTGAGTGATGAATGACGCAAACATTCGGGATGATATTATCTGGCGATACACAGAAGAATGCTTCAAACTAAATGACAACAATTCAGGTCAGTCTCTCAGGCCGAAATGTTTGGGATAACAGCAGATGTCTAGTGGGCTTCTACTCTAACGAGCAAGTACATGAACATCCTCCGTAGCTAACTCGCTTAACATCATCTGGTTACCCAGTCATATATGAATTGAAACAAAAAGGCAGACTAGTTGACCCGCTCTGCTTCAGACCATTCAGCTCCTTCAACGGTTGTTTGAAGCAATGGATCCTAGAGGAACACCTAAGGTCTTGGAACACTAGCAACACAGCACATACCATGAGGTAGTGTTAATGGAAGATAGACCAAAAAAACCTTTAAAAATGGATTCGGCGGAATCCATAGCAACCACGGAGGTTTATTAGACGCTGGAACATTATCTTTGCGAATACCCAGCTTTCAGTCAGATGAAAAGGGATATATTCCACGGCTTCCAATGCTGCAACTTAAGAGACATTGGGCAGCAGAAGCATAAAAAAGTAGAATTTTTACCTACCTATAGTGGTTGGAACTCCTAAAATCGTATTCAAATACTTAAACTTGCGAACTAATAATGCCAAAATATTGGCTATTTCTAACATTTTCTATGTTTTATTTGAAAAAAGCACTGTTTCTTTGAAAAGACAGTCAGTATTATTCGGATTGTCTGGGCCTGGGTCTGGGCCGAGACTAAATGAAAAATTATAAAAAAGAACATAGTTGTCACCCAACTCTGTAACGATATATAGAATCTGAAAGCGGATTTTTTCCTAGTTCGGCAGCATTTCTAAATACTAGCTAGGAGTTGTAGAAAGAATACTCTACGTAAACAGTTTTCGCATAGATGGTATTTTATGCCCATTCCTAGAATTTTTGCAGCCACTAACTTGTGAATGACTTTCTCTATGAAATAATATCACACATATATTTTTTATTTTTCCTAAACCTCATTTTGTAATTATAAATTTAGCTCTGGAATTAAAATTGAGTTTCGCAGGTAACGAATGAAGTGAACAGTGAAATAAAGTAGATAAAAGGCATGAACGATAACACAGTTTAAATGAGAAAAGTAAATGAAGTGCCTGACAGTGCCCTGGGGTGGCCGGCAAGTGCGCTTTTGCCCACGTTATCGTCGTCCAATCCCGCTTATACTTATGTGCTTTCCTTTCGTTTCCCGTCCTGGCTATAGTTCGACTCTTCGAATTCTAAGCCCGTAGTTAGTTGCGCCGAGAAGCTTTGCGCTAAAAATAATATTATTGAAGGATTAAAGTTTTCGAGGAGTTGAATTGCAATGCAACTAGAGGACGCCATGTAACGGTGCTCAACTCATATTTCCTGTGCTACGAGTTGGGGCAACTTTGGCGCCAGCTGCAGGTGCAACAACAACAGTTATAGCAACACGATGAATAACTACACGAGATAGAACGTAAGTCGGAAGGATAATTGAAGTAGTTACACGGATAAATGCTGCACATTGTGCACGCCAAAGGGAAGCGAAGAGCCTAGGTGCCGGTAGCTGGCTACTTTGCTCCCGCAATGACGGGTCCGCCTTGAACTATGAATGTGTTTATAAATTTCTTGCTGCGTATTTATGTACTTATATGAATTTGTGTTTGTCATGTGTATGTCTGTCCGTCCATTTAAGGCGTTTCGTGGAAGTTGTTCCGCTAAGAGTTTAATCGGCAGCAGAGTGACTGCGGCAGAAACAGCAGCATACAGCAACTTGAATTTCTGTGCATTTTTATCAACTTAAAAAGATGCTGTCCATTTTGTTCTTAATCCCCAGAAAAGTCTGCTCAGTACGTTCATGAAGTTCGTTAAAACTCGTAGATCTGCTACCAAGGCAACTTTTCAGAAAATTATTCATTTGATAGCCAAGCGATTGCTTCATTATTCTGCGCATAGATTTAATGCAAATGGAAGACAAACAAAACAAATACAACTATTTGAGTTGTAGGCGATGTTGTGTTATTGTTGGTGAGTGGGTAAGGAGTCTAATAAGCCAATATCTATGGCATTAAGGTGCAGTTAGAATCACTTAAAATGTTAAGTAGTCAAATAATTAGCGATTTATTAGTTCCCGTGGGCACCTTTAAATTTCTGAGCATGGAGATTATTTTCAAAAATAAAAATAAATCAAGAAAAAACGTTTTCTTCGGCTGCACAGAAGCAATAATACCCTTCACAGGTGCATTTCTGATAGCAAAGAAGAGGTAGAAAACTAACTTTATATCGATTTTGATCGGCCAGTTTGTATGGCAGCTATATGCTATAGCAATCCGATCTAAACCATTTATATTTCGGAGATTGTAGTGTTGCTTTGGATAATAATTCGTACAAAATTTCGTGAAGATATCTTATCAAATAAAAAAGTTTTCCATACAAGGACTTAATTTTAATCGACCATTTTGTATTACAGCTATATCCTATAGTGACCCGAGGTCGGCAAGTGTGACAAATGAGCAGCTTCTTGGCGGGGAAAAGGACGTACTCAAATTTTAGATCAATATTTTAAAAACTTGGAAATAATTCCTCGCGGTTATACAGATGAACGGGCAGACAGGCGGACATGGCTAAATAAACTCAGCTCGTCGCGGCCCGGCGTTTTCTTCAAGGTTTTACAAAATTTGTTGTTATAAATGAAGATTAGTACTGGACTCAATTTTTCCTCCAATTTTTAAAGTACTATCTACAAGTGAGTGATGGACTATATTAGAAGACTTTATGTCAGTTATACCTTATTCTGCAAATTTTGCTTTATTATTATTTGGAGTGTAGCAAGTGTTATAATAAACTTACTTGAAATTTAGACTAAACAGGCGTTTGACTATTTTATTAATCTAATTTAAAGCAGTTCTAGATATATTGTTGACATATATTTTCCATTACTCCTCATTGTATTCAGTTCTCTGCCGGGGAACTCAAAGAACAAATATCTTTGAATCACCAAATCTATGAGCGTGCCAACTGGTGTGAATCAAAGTCGGCTAGTAGTAGTTTCTTTGAAAAAAATTTTTAAAAAAAATCAGGTAGTGTAGTGTTCGAATGGTAAATACGCCGATCATTTTAACTCTTAATCCATATATTTCTAAAAATTTTATTATGAAAATTTCTTTTAGGCATTGGAACATAAGTGTTAACATGTGAACACAAATAGGTTGTTTAATTCATTACATAAGTCTAGTTAAAACCTTAATTTAAATTTACGGAAGAAAGTTCTCCAAAATCGCTTTGTAGCGAAGAAACCATCAGTCGTTTGTGGGGGTGTAAAAAAATATCTCAGATCTGTTAACGACAAAAAAAAAATTGTGCACATTACTTTTTAACAAAATTTATGACACTTCCGGAAAATTAATTGTCTCCCAAAGATTTTGCCTATGGTTTGAAATATTGCAGCTGACATGATGTGGTAACTTGTAACTAAGTTACTAAACGACTTCTAACATATTGAAATATACAAGCGATACCATTTTTAATTGACTTTTCTTTACTTATACAAGAGAATCCTGTAAAAGAAATGATAACTTCATCCTAAAGTCGTACGTGTAAATCCATATCATGACTCTGGTCATCGGATAGTGTGTATATACACTTTTTTGCGGAAAGTAATGTATGATCATCACTTGGTTACCCTTGCAGTTGATATATGGCCAAAAAAAAAGTGTATGCGACCAAATCTACCGAAACAATAAGAATATCCCTTCATAGTCTCAAGATGTATGAATTTTTAAGTAGTTTCTTATAAAGTAAAAGTAAAAATTTGTTGTCTTAAGAACTGCAGCCAAAAGTTGTAATAAATTGTTTTAAAAATTAGAAACAAGAATACCAAAAATTTTTGTTTTTCATCTGAAACCTGTTGCGCTATTTCTCAACAGCTTTATTAATTTACTGCAAAGTCTCAAAACGTGTGATGATTTAAAATTTATCTGATCAACGATTTACATACCGCTCTAAATAAAATGAAATGCTAGTGGCAGTTACTCAAATGTCAAGGCACTTACCGTTTAAAATTATTCCACAATTATATCGGCTATTTGTTGATATGTCCTTACATAAATGCAAAAGAAAACTATTTAGATATATGTATGTATATTTTTTTATTTCCACGAAGTCGTGATATTAAACGATATTGTATCCATTTCACAATTTTAAATCACTTTAAAATCTCATGTTTCACTTCACTGAAAAAAAGATAATTTTTTATGTTATATTAAAAAATTTGGCAGAAAAGTTTTACAATAAAACTATATAATTTTCCTCCTTTTGTTCCACAAGTACCGAATAAGTACTTTTCATAGCTCTTCTGAATCGATTTCTCGCATATGTTGACTGCTTTTAATTAAAAATTGTGTATTCCGTTTTAATTGAATGTATTTTAATGAATGCTCAAACACGCACAGAATCCCGAAAGCACGCGCCCGCACATGCACACACACAAACACACTCGTAAGTGCATATGCACATGTGGCACTTGAAGTCAAGTAATTTGCTCAAATGCAAATTGACACAATCACATCCTGCGAACAGCCACCACCAGCCGCACGATTCACAGCAAGTGCAGCGGTCAGTAACGGCACCGCGAAGTGACGGCCCAAAGTGGCGGGACGCGCATGCAACTTTAGCTGCACATGCACTGTTGCACTTGCAACACAGCGCTACTGTTTCTTTCGCTGTGCTTCGTATTTGTTCAACGGGCTAATGACCCGATGCTGTGTCAATGATGTTGTTGCGTCCGCTGCTTTAAAGCATAAATGTTTTTGTAGTGAGTGATTTGCGCGTTTTTTGTACTTTTGTTGTTATGCAAACAAATAATTTAACTTCCGTTTTTCGATGCAAAGTCGGTACAATGAATTTCGTAGTAACGGTTAAAAGGCCGAATTTATTAAATGAAATTTAATTTCACGTGGGCTTTAAAATGCAGCACTGCACTACTTTTGATTTAAACACGCAAAATAAAAAAAAAAAACTTTGAGACACTGCAACAACATCGAAAACAGTCATGCATCAATTACACTAGCGATAAATTGAGCAGCAACGGTGGCAGCAATCAACCGCAGCGCACGAATGCAATCGGCACTCAGTCAGTGATTCGCGTGTGATTGTGAGCGCAAAATGTTCATGATATATGGCTTTTTGTTGGCGTTTTCTGTTTTGGCTCATACTTTTTTATTATACTTTATAATACTTTTATATTTATTTTTTAGTTTTTTTAATTCTTTTAAATCTCTGCACTTTGCTTCACTTCGCTGCTTTTGATTTTCGATTTCACTGCTGGAATGGCTTGGCTCTGGCACTACCATGTTGTTCGTTTATTCATTCCTTGACAAACTAGCTTTTGAATTTCGACGAGAACACGGCAATGCACAAATAAATTTCAGCTGTCACGCACGCTACAACATTTTTTGCGAGCGGGCGAATTGTGCAACACACTAGTGCCACAAAGCCGCAAGCGGATGCTTCGAATGTATTTTCCTTAACCATTAACAAAGTATATAGCAAAGCATGTACTTTAAATGAATTACTTTAGGTCGCACATAAAGCGACTATATAATTGCGAAAAATAAATTCCGATCGGTTCGCAAAAATTCCGTGCGTTTATTACAAATATTATTAGTTAACCGCAAACGGTCATCGGCCAGCAAAAACCCAAAACCGTTATTACACGTTCACGCACGGCATACACGTTCGCTTACATAGAGAGCAAAAATACAACTGAATCCTTCAACTAAATGCACCCAATCGGCAAGAAAATACGAGTGCAAGAATTGGTCGCACGACAGGATGTCAACATGCCGAGGATGCTTTGAACGATTAGTGGATATCTCACTTCAGCATTTGACTGTGGTGAGTATGAGTATGCGGAAACGATGTCACACGATTGCTTAGCCACCCACCCTCGGCCGCGAGCGCGTATGATTGAGCTAAAGGTTGGTGTAAAATCACTAAACTAAGCAGTGCTAAGGAGTTAGAAGTGATGTATCTCATCTGACCGCATATAAAGTGTGTAGCTGTGATTTACCAATGCCGGGAGATTGTGAGTGAAAAGTAAGTGAGCAGAAGAGTACACTGTACTCAGATTTTTATTAGCTGAGTACACGAGCGCGCATTTCATTCAACTCGGCGATATTTGAGTGAGTACTGGTATTGAGTAAAGAGCACGGCGGAGTGTTATGAAGCTTCTGTGCTGGTTTTATCTATAGTTATTGTTGTCATGCTTTTGTTGAAGTGTTTGGAGTGAAAATTTGCAGGCTGATTTCCAACAGGTGGTTGTCCAATTTCTAATCCATACGTAATGCTGAGTGAGTTTATTTCGAAGTAGAGGCGAAACTATAAAACACTTTATCAATTTTTATTTGTTTTATTTTGAACGATTTATTCTCGTGTCATGAAATACATATGTATGTGAAAACGTTGTCAATTTAGGAAGAAAAATACTATCATTATACAGGGAAGTCGATCAAATAAAAATATAAACATAATAAAATGACCAACTTCGATGAGTTTATTGGCCTCAACGATTTTGATATTGAGATTTGGCGAATGTTACTTGCTGAGTTCCTCGGTACATTCTTCTACGTGTTTGTTGGGGTCATTAGCACGGTCTCACTATCGCAAAATCTGATGACCTCTGTAGTGCCGGTTGCCTTCGCATTTGGACTAGCATTGTCAAGTATATCGCATGTGGTTAATAGGGCTAGTGGTGCTCACCTGAATCCTGCTATTAGCATAAGTCGACTGGTCGTTGGACAAATGAAATTGCTGAAATGTTTATGCTACATACTAGTACAGTGCATCGGTTCGTGTTTAGCGGCATTTTTGGTGGAAAGAATTTGCCCGGGATCTTCTCTTGCACGGAAGGACGGTGTAACAAGACCACTATATATGGGCGTTTGGGAAGCACTGCTTCTTGAAATGTTCATTACATTTATTATGGTTATGGTGTACAAATCAATGGCAGATCCTACACGTGATGATTTACATTTATCTGGCCCATTAGTTGTGGGCCTTTCCGTCACAGCGGGACATCTGGTCGGCTACTTGTGTTCGTCATCAAGCATGAATCCAGCGCGTTCTTTCGGGCCGGCACTTGTAAATGGCAACTTCAACGATCACTGGATCTACTGGGTGGGACCGATTTTGGGTGGCATTATGGCTTCAGTTTGCTATCACTTTGGTGTACAGGATCGTGAAGCGCTTAGGAAGAGACGGTCTAGAAGAAATAGTGCCAGGCGAAAGAGTTCTCAAAATTAATAAAAATAGAGTTTAAACATTTGAAATTAAATAAATTTGTGTTTACTCACAATGCAGATGTATATTCTTAGTTTTAGATATAAAACTTACACTAAAACTATAAAGAAAATATTAAGTCATTCCCGACAGAAATGATTGGGTTATAAGTTTAGTTTAGATTCCTGTTGAATAATAACTTCATTATTGAAGATAAAAATCAGTATGGATTCCTGTTCTTAGATTTCATTAGCATTTTTAGGGAGAAAATGGTCTAGAATACCTAAAGTTTACCAAAAATTGCTGAGATATATATTTATATTTCAATAACAAGAAAACGTTTTTTGATCAAGTGGTCGGCGTAAATGCAAGATCTTTTAGGTTCATTACTATCAGCAGCATTATATAGTTATGTACATTGATTAGCCATAATACATAAATATATATATATGTATATGTCTCTTTCTATTCCGCTACCTGTTTGAATTTCAGATCTTAGGTGAACCTAAGGTGAAACAGAGTTATAGAAGGGTACATAAAATAATTTCCGTTAACAATAAAAACCAGATGAATTTCAAAAAAATCGATATATTTTTTTTTCATATTTTCAAAGTTTAACTATTTAAGAATATGTCTATGAAAGGATTTTTGAAAATTTAAATGATATTCGGAGATATAGACATTTTGCTGACCCGGCCTCCAAACTGGTTCGGCTGCGTATAATCGAACAAAAGACGTTATATGAAACCTTAAATGCGTTTTTCTCAGACCAAATTTTTTCAATACGATACTTATTTTTAAAAAATACGAGAAAATGGACAAAATGTTAAAAAAAAACTGTTTATTTTCAAACAGTCGCCATTTTGTCAAAAAGTTTTTGACTAGGAGGGTTCATGGATATGCTTATGTGCCAATTTTTTGAGACACCCAACTTCATCAGCCGTCAGTTTTTTAAATTTTTAACTTATTTCTATACTCTTGTAACATTAATAAATAACTGATAAAAAAATCGATCGTAAAAATATTGATTGCCCTCTTTTACAACACTTTAAAAATTACCTGAAATTCATGTGTCTAGACTAGAATACCCCCTTCAAAAACATCGATATACTATAGTTAGCTTTTGAAAATTAAGAGCTCAGCTCTCGACACTGCCTTGAAAAGCAATTCAATGTGAAAATAATTTATATAAACAAATAATATACGTGAGTGTAACTGTTAGTTGTCGATATTTTTGTTAAAAATTAAAAAAAACTCTTAGGAGAGATTGTAACGTACAATTGAAATGGGTTGGCAAGAATTTTTCGGTACTCACGACTTCAATAGAGGAAGTGTAATACTGTTGGCAACTGAATTCTTTGGCACTCTTGCCATCGTCTTTACCAGCATTCTTACAATGGCACAACAATATGTTGATCAGGAAGAACTGAAGAGAGCAATAGAGACTACTTCCTGTGGTGCCTCAATGGAACAAATTTCGCTCGGGTTAGGCTTGGTGTTTGCCGCTGTGGCCCAGGCGCTGGGTCGTCGTAGTGTTTGTCATTTCAATCCCGCTGTAACTTTGGGATACTGCGTTGTCGGTGAACTGAGCTTAATTATGAGTTTCTTATTCATGGTTGTGCAATGCTTCGCTTCTGCTCTTGGAGTCTGTATGGCGCTAGTTCTACTGCCGGCAAAATTGGCAAATAAACACTTAGGTGTACCAAAGCATCCTCATGTATCGGTGTTGGGCACGATTGTAATTGAAATGTTATTGACCTTTATATGGGTCTTTCTGTCTCGCAGTGCAGAGAGTCACAAGCTGATGGGCTTACGAGATACGGCACCGCTGGCCGTTGGTGCCACAATAATAGCGGCTTACTTAGCTGCTTATCGGTTGACCGGCAGCAGTATGAATCCCGCTCGTTCTTTTGGGCCAGCTCTGGTGTACATGGATTGGAAGGATCACTGGATTTATTGGTTAGCTCCGTTTGCTGGTGGTGTACTGGGAGCTTTGACTTATGAATTCTTGTTTAAGATTAGACCGCATAAAGAACACATAGAAGAGGAACAAACCATGGAATAATCCTTGTTTAGAGAGAAAAGACATAATGTAGGTTTTTTGGACTGAAGAATTTGAGTATATTTATGTACTTATGAAGTTGTTGAGCTATAATTTATTGTTGAGCTATAATTTAGCAATTTCTTATACACCAAACTATTAGAAATAATAAAAACTGTATTCTCTCTTGGCGGCTGAGTTCACTGCTTATCTTTTGTATTTGGCAATGCTCGTTTAGTCTATCCTAAAATGCGGCTTTTTCGACGTTATTGTAAAAATGTATGTTCGTTTACTTTTTTAGAAGGAAGTGGTTCGTCAGTTGCCCAAGAAACCGTGTAAATCGAAATAAAAATCATGCAGTGAACTTAAAATTTGTGGTTTAGAGAAGCAAAGATCTGGTATAACCACAGGTAGTTAAGAGTGACTAGTACATCGCTAAATCGATAACAGTAGTGTTGAAAGACCAAAACTTGAACTTCGTTATTAATATACACCATGATTCTATTGAATATACACTATTTGAGTAGAAGGCCATTTGCCATTGAAAACTGTTTCACATAATGCCAAAATATCGTAAATATTTTCTAATTAAAGGAAGAATATAATTTAGAGTCAGCTGAACATCCGCCTATTTTTTAACTACGCAAGCATGTTTCCAGCTTTAGGTTCGAACGAATTGAGAAGCTATTTATTCCGACGGCAACTACTTTGTGAATTCTTCGGCACATTTTTGCTGATGCTGGTGCGGAAGACAGTCAGTACGGTGGAGGACACTCAATGGGCCGTAACGAAAATATCATTCGCTCTCGGCCTAACTGTTGCTGCCTTGACCAAACTATTTGGTCGCATAAGCGGCTGCCATATCAACCCTGCAGTTTCTATTGCTTTCTTTGTTGTCGGCGAGATGAGCACTTTACGTCTATTTTTCTACATAATCATGCAATTATTGGGCGCAATTTCGGCAGTATCCACGTACACATTATATGCTTTCGCCAATTCTAATGCAATTCAAGAGCCTAGTGCATTGGAAGACTGGCAAATAATATTATTGGAACTAATACTCACAACTATGTTCATCATGCTGTTTCGAACAATGTCTGATGCACAACATCGCAGTCAACGGAGTTCCGCGTCTATGGCCATAGGCTTTGCATATACAGCATGCCTTTTGAGTGGCACCTCTATATCGGAGGTGGCACTGAATCCGTTATTGCATTTTGCTTCTGGGCCAAATATATTTGCTGGCGATTTTACACCAGCTATTGGTTCAATTCTGGGTGGCATTTTTGGAGCACTGACGTATGAAGCCTTATACATGCCGTATAAACGAGAACCACGCACCTCGAGCCTTTTCGATTGGCTACGCAATACGCCATCAGCAGAGAGCAAATCAAACGTTCGTTAATTTTGTATTTTGTAGAAAGGATTTGGATGCATTACTATTATTTAATAAAACTTGTTTTTGTCGCCTTCATTGTGTTTTTGTTTTAGATAATACTTTTTTACCAGTAACAAACTATTTGTGGTAAGTTGTCAAAGAACAAAGACGAGCTTTAAGGCCAATATGTTGAGTCAAGTTTATTTTCCAATAACATATTACTGACATATTCGGCTTAAGAAATTCTGTAAATATGTCTGTGCCTGAGGACTCCCGAACAGCAATAATATATCAATGCTGCTAGGCATGCGCCCGCCATCGAACCTATCCAATAACAATAGTGAAAATCCCACTCATTAACAAGTATGGATGCACTTAAGGACCGTACTGGATTAACGCCACCACCAGATAGAAGAATTGCAATTAAATAGGAGCCCAAGACAACAAAGCCGATTGCAAACGAGCCATTTCCGTATGCATCTTCATTTCGCCGCTCGGTATTTACAATTGCCATGATTATCCAAATAAATGCTGCTAAAGCTTCGACGATGCAGAGTTCCAACAACTCGGTACCCATCGAGGGCCTTAAAGGACGTTGATCCTGGTACATTTCTTTATCAAGTATTGATAAAATGATTGCAGTTGCCGCCAATCCGCCGAGTATTTGAGCAATTACATATCCAATAAAACAAAGCAGACTCATGCCGCACACTAAGAATATTGCAAGACTCACAGATGGACTGAGATGTGCGCCGCTAATATTACCAAGTGAGTGCGACACCGAAAATGTAGTGCAGCCCAATGTGAATGCCACTTGCACAGGCGAGGCATATGGCCACTCCGTTTCGCTTGGCTTAAATAGAGTACACAAAATGCCGAGTAAAACGAAAAAGAAGGTGCCGAGAAATTCAGCAAACAGTGCACGCATAAAATCCAGATTCCAGTCGGAGGCACCAAAAAAGTCTTGCCAATCCGTCATTGTGGGGTTCTCGATCAAAATGGTCTGCTTAAGTATGCCTTTGCGAGTATTTGAATTTGTTTATAAATAATGTATGGAAAATAGAAAACTGCTCGACTATCGCTGCTCCAATGTTTGTGTTTTTTCTTTGCTGTCAGGCGAAAACTCAAAAGAGATGAAAATTAATTAAATGATGCCAGGACTTCTCATATAAGTGCGTAAGCAGAGTTATGAGCAATTGCTGGTAGGCTAGTGAACTCACTGACGACTTGTAAGAATCGTTATAGTAGGTAAGAAAGGTAAACTGAGTGGCTTGATTATGGTAATCACCGAATACTTTCAGAAGATGCTTATATTTAGTTATTAGAGTTCCTTCCAGCTTTGAATCGCTTGAAATCATTAGATATATGTTATTGAGAAACTTATATAATACTTCATACCCAATATTGAAATTTTTTTGCTTAATATTAATTTCTACTTGTTAATAAACATCCGAGGATGAGTGCTGCTGGAATTTTGACAAATGCTTAAATATGCACTTGTGTGTGGCTACATTCGACTATTTGAACTTATTGCATTTTTATTAGCAAACTATTTAAGTACAGAACAGACGTTGTGTTTATGTTTTTACCATGCGCACCAAAAAAACTGATTATATTCAAGTGGAAATTGTCATAGTTTTCTCGCTTAGTAATTATGCAATATAAGGCTATTGAGTGCTCTTGTATTTACGCAAATACCAGAATATTTAACGAAAATTAATTGTTTACTAAAGAAAAATATTTAGGTCAATTACTTTGGTTAAAGTATACAACATGTGCATTCCTGCATATTTAACTAGTTGTTGGCACCCAAGGGAGGGATTGCAAAACTGTAATTCGGTCCAGCGAATCTCAGTAGGAAGAGGCATTTGCGGTTTGAAAATTTGTAAAAAGTGGGCGTGGCTCAACTCTTAATAACTTTAATGTGCATATATTAAAAACCACTAAAGCTATGTATATCACCCAAACATCCCCAAAACCAATATTTTCGGCACCTCCTTATACAGTGTGAAAATGGGTGAATTCCGATGATAACCACGTCCACTCCACATTTAACGATAATCTTGAAAACTATGCTAGGTATGCGATCTCATGCTCAAAACTTGTCGAAATCGAGTCAATACTTCTCCTAGCCTCTATATACTTAATATAGTTTTTTCCAATCAAATTCCAACATATTATATTTAAGGTTTTTCCTAACCACTAACTGAATATCAATGGAATCCCAACCCCTAATATAAAATTAAGAGTCCCTTAAAAGAGACCATAGGGTGGCACAAAAATGGCGCTACTAAAACTTTTTTCCCTGATTTTTTGACAGCAGTCTGATTATTAATACGTCTGCTATTGCATTTTGTATTCAAACGAAAAAAAAAGTAAAATTGAAAGCTTTACTTTGATAAAGGTATGGTATCCAAGTGTTGGAAAATCGCTATACTCGTTGTATTGCCCTCGCTCCCATGTTGTATAATAAAATCGAGTTTTGTCAAATATATCTATTCTTCTCACCTATCCTACGGACTTATTGAGTGACCAGTTAATTGATATATAAATGACTAAGTGAATATATGACCTATAGATACGTATACGTAGATAAAATTAATTAGATATCAAATATGAATATGACCCATTTATAAATTCTTCGAAAAACCAATATGGAATTCTTAGCCAATATTTTTTGATACAAAATTTTGTCAACACCTGAAAATATCTCCCAGGCTTAGATCTTTCAACAAGAGTATAAAATCTTCAGTTACGTTCGAACTTAATAGGCCTGCCTTACTTATTTTTTACTAAATTTGTTATATAATACCAGCATTATACATTTGAAAACCGTCGTGAAAGTTTGAAAAATGCTTCATAGCTTTAAATCTATATGGCGAGTTAGAAATCTCGGTTTCCTTTCACATATGTACATACAAGTATATACTTACTTATACACTTTAATGTAGCCAGAAGCCAACTTGTGAGCTACATTTGTCCAAATACCTAATATACGCTGCCAATTTATATAATATTGGCAAAAATAAGACTATCAAATGGACACATTAACACCGTGTACTAATTTCCCTTCCAAATGTCCAGCAAATTATTTTTATTGCCAACGCCAATGGCATGTAATCGCAGACGCTCGTTTGTTTGCCGATTTCAGTGTTAAGCATCTAATCGGAGAATTCACCTGCATGTTGGCATTTTTTTTTTGTGGTTTTCTTCGCAGCCTTGTTTTCTTACAAAGCGTCCAATTTGCCATATTAAAGTGACTGCACTACTTTAGTTTTTGCTCTAATCTGCGGTTTGTTGTTGCTGCTCTGCACATTACCTACTTTTCTTTTCTTATCTGCTGCCATTTGCTCACTTTAGGGAAGTTGTTGGACAGAGCGTTCATTAATTTTATGACTTTATTTGATAGCTATGCTGGGTGCTGCCAAAATAGTAAATATAACGGCGCCTTGGTTACCATCTGCACATATACCATAAATACGTTAGCATGTGAGTGCATTAAGATTTCGGAAGTTATTTAGCAAAAATCTTATGAGTATATACAAGTACATATGTATATTTGTGTTGGAGAATTATTCACGCTTTTTGTCCAAACGGAAATTGTGCCAGCTACCGCTTGGTATAATTCTTTAAGCCATGCCCATATATTCATATCATATGTATGCTGGCGTATTTGGGTCGATGCTGAAGTATTGTGCTTAATTAAAACAGAAACTTTGCACAATGACTTGCCAGACAAGCAACTTATAACTATTGATTTACTGTTATTCATTATTTACGGAACCTTTAATAAAATAAAAATAAAATAAGAAAAATAGCAGACAGTGTAACAAATGATCCTTTGTGCTTATCGTGCAATACTGAATTCCTTTTTTCGTATGATCAAAGTATTTTGTAAAGGCAATAAAACTCCAATTCTCTGCGCCCACGGCTTTGCAGTAATCCCATTTACGAGTTTTACTTAAAAAAATTAAAAATTGTGTAATCTTTTTAATAGATATTGTTAATGCATGCATTTCCGTTACCAGAAAATCCCCAAACTTACTGTATATGCGCTGCTGGTCTCCGCTTCACTGGAACTTTATAGAATATACGCTTCCGCTCAATGCGACATATCCGCTTAAAAATGAATTTATAGTTCTTTTCATTCGCACTGTAAATGCAAATGTTGATAGGTACATATTTACACTACATATGGCATATACATACACATAAACATGTATGTATGTACACATGTATGTTAATCGGAATCCACATAGCGAGCGGGTTCGCGCGATTGCAACAAAGGACGAAAACAAAAAAGCGTGAAAGCTTTGAGCAGCCATTTGTTAGAATAACAAATTTCCACTTCCGCAACAATCAAAATTTCGCATAAAAAATTATTTGCAATTCCTTTCGCAGAAGTTTTTTTGTTGGCGCAAATACAAACGAATTCTAAAAAGCAAATTGCCTGCAACGAGTTGAATTCACGGTATAATAAATGCAATTGAACTGCAGTGCATAGCTGCCGGCAATGTGCGAACTCCAAAAAAAAAACAATAATAACAAAAAGCGAAATTGAAAAAAGTATAAAATAGAAAAAAGAACGAAATTAAAAAACTCATTAGCAGTGTGAGTGGCTAAACGGATGAGGGGAAATACGACTGCCACCCGCTGTAGATGCGTTGATGCATTTCGAACTGCAAGATGCCGTTTTTTGCTTGCCCTAAACATACATACATACATTTGAATATGTATGTACATGTGTATATATATGTGTGCGAATGCCATGCATATAGCACATACAAACATACTCGTACATATTCATGGCCTGAACATTTTGCAGGCAAGGTCGTTGCTAAAAGTGGGAAAAAATAGGAGGTCAAAAAGCAGACGTGCCACAAAATAGAATGCGAATTTGAATGCAATTCGTGGCAAAATTCAAGCGTCAACAACCGGGCAACAACAGCAAATACCAATAGCACCGCAACTGTGACTCGGCGAAAAGCGTTGTAAAAATGGCCAAAACGTAACACAAAAACAACCACAACAGAGCGCAACTAAAAAATGGCAATATAGCAGTGCAGCAACAGCTTTTTTCACAAAGTGTGGCAATACTAACGAATGCCTAATAAAACATCAACAAAACTAATAAAATGAAATATTTAACAGAACGCACAAAGTAAACATAGAAAAACAACAAGAACAAGACAAATACATTCAAATCCACTTTTGTGGAAACAACAATACAACTTTTTTGAACGCGTATGAGTTTCTATTTATGGTATGTGGTCGCTCAAAAGCAAGCAAATGCAAAATATTAAAAAAAAACCTCATCTAACATACATATACAAGTATACAACTAGAATACTTCTATTCAGGGCTGCTATGCGGAGATGTGCGCGCTGGTGCATGCATTTGGAATATCCAAAATAATATTCGATTTTAATTAAAAGCATGTATTTTGGAACTGCATCTCACAGACAAGTGGGTTCGGCGCTAGTTTGCACAGGCACTATTTTCTTTATCGAAGCATCCGTTTCCATTTTTGCCGACTTCGCTTTGGGTCTACGATCAGTTAACGAAGTCAATTCGGCAGGAATATTAATAAGAAATGTTCTTCAGACCAGTATAACAGTAATTAAGCCACTTTACGTAACACTTTACACATATTTACACTGATCTGAATAAGGTCAAATATGCATCGTTTTGTTTAATAAATGGATGCCATTTTGAAGGTAATTTCTTAATAGCACACTCATAGAAATCCTCGGTCCTATTGGCTCGCTAAAACTGGTCGCTTCTGGACGATTTTTTTCTTCAATTGGTCCTATTATTGACAATACAGGTCGAAAATAGGAGTTTGCCCGTAGAAGATAATTTCCGGCCAGTCCCACCAAACATATAGCTGAAACTTTTGCATGGTCAATCCTGGTTTATTCACCTTTCTTGCGGGCTCACCGCGATTCGGCCACGACCGAAGGAAATGTGTAAAATATATCGCATTCTATCTTTGCTGGTTCCCATCTTTGACTCAAGCAATCACAAAACGGTCTGAGATGTTTATACTCTTAAAAGGGTTTATTAAGTTTGCCACATGGTCTGTAATACCCAGAAAGAAACATCGGATACTCTATAAAATACAATATACATAAATGATCAGCATGATGAGCTGAGTTGATTTAGCCATGCCCGTCTGTATTTATATATATATATTCCGAAAGTTTGGTCTAACTACCAAACACATAGATTTAATTTTATTTGCATCATTAAAATAATACT